CCCTGCTATTTTCTGACGCTCATTTGGGTTTTTCATTACACTTCAATCTGATCCTCCATGTCTGCCCAACGCCTCACAGCTCCTGGCACAGCTCCGGAGTTTTTGTTACATTTTGTTTGCCACCCCAGGGTCTGTTTCTTTGTTGAAAGATTACCTCACCTACTACCTCATGCCACGGAGAATGCGCCCAAGGGTACCCTGATGCACCTCCTTCCCTCCAAAACAGACACAGTTCTCACTGGGGTCCTTAAAAAGTCTGTGCAGAGTGCCACAGGCAACCCACCCCTCATTTGATGTCCCCCTTCTAATCCCTCAGAGCCAACATCTCCAGCTGAGCTCCTCCGTAGCCAGCAAGGAAAAGAGCCATCCACAACGCTAAGTCATCTTGCCTCTTGTATTTTTCCATGCAGGAGGGTCTGCACCTGGAAATGTTTGGAGTCACCAGGATGAGTGGGCTGGACACCTCTCTCCTGAACGCAGATCAGCTCTGCTTAGCTCACACAGTGATGATGCAGCATCCCAGTAGGGAAATACAAAGTCATGTGGTTTCCAGAGATGTTTCTAAATTTAAGAGCCATGGAAATCTAGGTTGGAAATGTCATAACATCTGCAGTAGAGTGATCCACATTTTGATTTATTGGGGTTTTTAGATTTAAAAAAAGTAAAGGTGCAGGTTGTGAAGTGGGTGTACCTGCAAGCAGAGCCCTCGTTACTCAGCTTCTCCTCTGGGATGTGCCATAGCAAAGCTCCCAGAGGATGAAGAAGGAACTCATTCTTCTGGTGGTTTAACACCATTTTTCATCAATTTACACCAACAGTGCAGCACGTGGTGACACAGAGATCTGTCTTTAGCCCTGTACTATCTGCATAGACTCTTCTGCTTTTGACTGCCTCCCTCCACTCCCAGGGAGCTATGTGACCTTTGCTGTGTGTTTACCACACCGTGAAAGTCTGAAAATAGTTGAGGAGTGATGGCAAGGCTTTTTTCTTGTACAGAGAAGAAATGCCTTATGACTTGAACCCCAGAGAGCCCAGGAACAACTAGGAAGCCATTCCCAAACCAGGCTTTACTGCAGCTTCCTGGCTTACTGGCTTTCCTCTCCATTTCTTCCTCAGAAATCTGTGCAAAGCCCGTGGACAGCTGGGCATATTTCAGGGTCTTTCAGTGTCAGTCCCTCAGTTCAGACCTTCCAGGTCATTAAATCATTGGTCTTCCCTACCTCTGATTTGAAATGTCACCTCTCCCATATCCAGGGAGGGTGACCTGACTTTTCAGAGCAGGGATGATGCTGTATCTGAGGTGAGACAGCTCCTCTTTGACCTGACCTGATCAACAGAGACCCTCCTCCCACTTCTTGCTGCCGAGAGCATTCTCCTAGGCTAGTGCCTACCTACATTTGGCTGTTACGCTTTTCAAATCATCTAGAATTTCTATTATGAGAGTGTTGAAGGTTAGGTTTTTTCTTTCTTTTTTTCTTGCTCTTAGGGAATTTTTCTCCCATTTGTTGCCTAAGAGATTATGAATGGCAATATTTAAGGGAAAAAAAGATGTAGCCAGGATGGGGAGGAGGAGGGAAGGGGTGCAGTTGCTGCAGTCTCTTAGCTGGGGAGTGAGCTCACTGGCTGGGAGGTTTTCTCTTGGAAAGTGCATAGATACCACGAGAGGTCGGGGTGGGAGGGGAGGGGTGCTAACCAAGACTTGACTGGGGGTCAAGGGATGGGGCTCAGTGCTCTCCTTCTCTCTCAGGGATTGGAGGGGAGATGGTTGTGGTTTTGGACTACTGCTGCTGCAGAGAGGATTCACTTCTTCTGTGGAGTTCTGCCCTTCACTGCTTCTCCTTACTGTGGGTGAGCCTCTGCTCACAAGAGTGGGACCTTTCAATGTCCAGCCCCACTGAGAGGGACCCTCACCATCTGTTTGGGTGTCTCAGAGGAAACCCAGGACCGCCTACCCCCTCGCACCTCCTGGCTACTTGTAGGAGCCCAGCTGCTGCTGCCATCACCAGGACATCACACAGGACATAAGAGAGACAAAAGCCTGTCAACTTTACTCCATCCACTTCAGACATCTCTGTATGCAATTCCTCCTACAATAATCCTTACTTTCTGACTCTTACCCACACAAAGAAGGAACAAAGCTACCAAGGGTTAAAAAAAGTCTCCTCTCAGTACCTGGTTAATAGAGACATTTTTCACAAGGATAGAAAGTAAGTGGAAGACAGTTGGGGCCTGGTTTGAATCTCATGTAGTTTGTCATGCTTCTAGCAAAGAAGGAAAAGGACAAAGGGGGGAAATTTTCTATGACACAGATATGAAGGGTAACAAAATTGATTTGGGAAGAGCTGCTGTGATCCTGTACTATAGAGCAGTTGTGTGCTGGCTTTGATTTACACTAATGAGTTGGAAATTAAGTGTTAACGCTTGGGAAAAGGCATGAAGACAACCATGGGAGCTCTCTGAAAACATCTGCCCAGTAACATTAACTGTCCCCTAAATGGAGCAGGGCTATCACCAGCACTGGGAAGCAAACAGAGAAAGCATCATTATCTCACACAGTGCCATGAATCCCCAAATACTGCACCAATGTTTTTATCACTTTGTCCACCTCAAAACTGCTTATTTAGTGTTCCCCCTGCCAAAAACCCACCCGCAGAAGCTTTTCTCTGGCCCCAGCTGGTTCTTACACTTCACATGTTCCAATTTTGGTCCTGCAGCCTCATGCCATGACCATTGTGCTGTATCTTTTCTGCTGGGTATCACTGAAGGGTTCCTAAAAGGATGATGTCACCCTGTAATTTTTGTCTTCCCTTTGCTTCACAACCATGCTCTCAACACTACTCCTTCAAGGCTGTTACCTGAGGAGTAGTCACAGGTGACCCAGGAAGCTGGGAGCCTTCCTTACAAGTGGTCTGTCCAGGAGAGAAGCCTCATGCCTGGGCAGAAGATGGGCTGAGCTTGGCCCAGCACCAGGCCCCTGGAGGCAAGGAGAGATGGCAAGCACAAGTGATGTGGCAGTTTCCATTTAAATGCTCTGATGGGAAAAATGATGATTTCAGCATTAACAGCACCCTGATTTGTGGAATTCAGTTATGTGCTGCTGGGAACAGCACAGGCTGAGGTCTGGGGGCAGCTGGTAACCAGTGGGAGCTCAGAGGAGAGGGCCCAGGTGGTAAGTGGAGGAGGAATAGGACAAAACAAGATGGGAGAGGATGGGTAGCAGGTGAGGGAGGGATGGTGGAAGCTTGAAATGGGACAACAGTTTTGAGCTCCATCTCATAGGCTTATAGGATGACCCGGGTGGAAGGGATCCCAGGAGGTCTCAAGTTCAGCCTCCTCATCCACACAGAGTCAGCCTGACCTGGTCAAACCAGATTACTCAATGCTTTATCCGTCTGGATCTTGAAGACCTCCAAGGATGGAGATAACACCTCAAGACAATCTCCTGCAGTTGAATCTTCCTTATTAGTGTGTAAGAAAGAGATGTCCTGAGGACGTAATTCCCCTCATTTAGAAAAACGTCTGGACATCTTTCAGTGTTCTGACTTTCCCTTCCCTCCTGAAGCACCTGGGAGGTGCCAGTCTTTGGGACTACAGCTGGGTGCATCTGCTCTGAAGTCCTGTGATCAAGGAGCATGGGAGATTACATTGCTTCTCTTACTGACATCAGCAACTCCTGCTTCTATGTCCTGCTTTTCATTTCCCTCATTAAACAGCAGAAGAATTTCAAGTCTCTTTTCCACACATCATGCTTCTCTGATGGACCTCTCTGCAAATCTAACAGCAGGCTGTGTTAGCTGCAGGCTGCTGGGATGGATATTGTCCTTGGGACTTCATTTAGTGCATCTTTGCACCTTGGCAATAAAGATCAATAACTGCTCTCTCTGTTGAGTATTCACCTTATAGTGAATCTAAATTCTATGGCAAATCTAAATTCTAGGGCCACAGTTTGCTTTAATAACACACCAAAAAAAAAAGCTTTAGCAATGCCAAAACGCACATTTCTGCTGTTTCTTTTCTGTTGAGAAACTCAGTTGCCATGTTTTCAAAGGAAATTAGTTTGCTCTGACATAATTTATTGGATATGACTGACATGGTTGTTTTCAGAAACACCTTGGTTTAAAAAAATAATGTATTTGCCTTGATTTATATAAATGCTTTTGAAGTTTGTGAGGACTTTTGTCATTGCTGTTCCTGCTTTCAACAAAGCTGAGATAAAATGTTATTTTTGTACCTTTGAGTGTGGAATATTTATAGCAATAGCCTGGCCTATGCCAGTGCACTGTGATTGCATTAGGTGAACAAAATAAGGAGTGACATTCAGAGATGCTGCCTCCTGATAACAGTATGAAGCATTCAGATGAAAACAAAATTACTTAGCAGCATTCACACAGTTTTAGAAATTGCTACCGTTTCAATGAATTTACTAAGAACCTACCAGACCAAGAGAAAAATTTATAATAATAATAATAACAACAACAACAATATGCTCTCTGTTCAACAGAGAGGGGAGTCTCCATGCTTAAAATGACTTTTAGTAATAGCATCTTTTTAGCCATGCAAAAGCCAAAGCATTTAGAAAGCTGTCTTTCTGAGAAAAAGCAAACCTTCCTCCTCTCTTCTACCACCAAAGCACCTAGGAACTATTCAAGGGGCATGCTAACATATCTTACTCATTTCCATCTATCTCCCAGCTTGTGCCAAAGAAGCCATCCATAATTGTGTAGGGTCAGCTTCTTATCCTCCTTGTTGCCTGACCAAATCTGCAGATCACAAATGCCACCTGGACAGTCTTACTGTACACTCCCCCTTATCAGAGAGGGGACAGTGCTGCCACTGAACAACACCCTGCTGGGAAGAAAATAATGCATACAGCTCCAGGGCCCCCAACAGTAGAGAAGGACATGGAGCTGCTGGAGGAGGCCAGAGAGATGCTCTGAGGGCTGGAGTCCCTCTGCTCTGCAGCCAGGCTAGAAGAGCCAGGAGTGTTCATTCTGGAGAAGAGAAGGCTCCAGAGAGACCTTAGAGTCCCTGCCAGTGCCTAAAGAGGCTGCAAGAGAGCTGGACAGGGGCTTTGGGCAAGGGGTTCAAGTGACAGGACAAGGGGGAATGGCTTCACACTGCCAGAGGGCAGGGTTAGATGGGATATTGAGCAGAAATTCTTCCCTGTGGAGAGGCACTGGCACAGGTTGTCCATAGAAGTTGTGGCTGGTCTCATCCCTGGAAATGCTCATGGCTGGATGTATCTTGGAACAACCTGGTCTAGTGGAGGGTGTCTCTGCCCATGTGTCTTGGGGTAATTTTATGATGATACTTTATTTCCTAATCATCTGTTTTATGCCCAGAAATGGCTGTGGTATCTTTTAGGTGAACCAGGGTGTGGGGCTGGAGCCTGGGAACACTGGGCATGGGCTCTGTTCAATCTCTCTCTCTGGCGTGGTCAGTGGCTATATGGATTTTTACTTCACTGTCTTTGCTGGATCAATTTCCTGAATTTAGGCAAGAAGGTTCTGGGTTTTTTGTTTTTTCCTTTCCCTGGCCTGGAGGCTTTGCACCAGAAAATCTTTTCAGCAGCTTTTTTGGGTTTTTTTACCTTGAACTGTCTCAGTTTGTTGTTTATCTTCAATCCAAGGAGTCTGCGGGGGGCAGTCACAGATGGTCCAAACCCGGGAAAGACTGAGACAGCGAAAGAAGGGACATTAAACTCTACCAACTTTGCCTGCTGCGAGGAGAAGATCCAGGCCAGAGATCCAGCGGGTTCCCAGCTGCTGCGTGAACTCTTTTTTTCTCCTCCCTTCTCACAGACAAAGAAGAGCAGCCGCCATCTTTGCCTCCCGGCCACACGGCGAGATGGAGGTGGGGAGTGTTATAGATAGGTAATACGATGATTGGCTCTCGCAATTAAGGGATAAATATCGTGTGTATGTTAAGAGAATGTTATTGATGTATTGTTACGTTATTGTATTTTCTTGTTTGGATGTCCTCTGTTCTCCCCACAGTCCCCTTTCCCCCCTTCTGTTGCCACTGGAGGGCCTTGGTTGTCAGGGTCATGGGAAAATCTTGTTGCTGGGGGGCGGGGCATGACAGCATCTGCCCTCCAATCAAGTTGCAGGAAAGTTGTCTCCACCAATGGACGGTGAGGAAGAGTTGATGGACAGGCTTTGGGCGGGGCCAGGGTTGGTGATGTAACCCCCAGGGGTATAAAAGGCAGAGCAGACATTTCGTAGATGAGCTCGTGGCTGCCTGTCACAAAGTCCCAGCGCGCTGCCCTTTTTCCTTATTCAGTCCTTTGTTGTGTTTGTTAACATTTAATAAACCTTCTAAAATTTTTAAAAGTGAGGGTCATTTCTCACAGGTGTAAGATTCTTTTTTTTTTCCTGTGCTTTGCAGGTATCTTGCTTTGTTAATAAACAGTTTTACTTTTTTTTTCACTTTCACCCACAGGTATTCAGTCCTCTCATCAGCAAAAAGGGATTATTGAAGCCCTTCTCTTTAGACAAAATGCTCATTCCAGTGCAATTTTCTCCTAAAATTTGTCTTTAAGCCAAGACACCATGGCAGGGGTGTTGGACTGGATGACCTTTTAAAGGCCCCTTCCAACCCAAACCGTTCTATGATTTTGGGAGTACCCTCCCCAGATTATCCATTAACCAATTGCTACCAGCAATTAACATGCTGGATGTACAAACTGTAGAAGTCAATCACCTCTACCCAGCCCAGGCCTGTCACACTTAAGAGCAAATTTTAACCATGGAGCTGCCCATAAGCAGATAAATGTGCAAAGGGCACAAATAAGAAATACTTGGCTCCACTCAATTCTCCCTTTGACACATTTTTTGTGGTGTCAAATGTAATGATTAAAAAATGGTCTAAGTACATGCAAGATCCTGCAGCAGTGAGCTGATTTAGCATGGGCAGTGCCAGTAATCCCCCAGCTGCCAAGAAAACTCCACCTAAAACTGTGCTCTGTCTCTGGATCTCTCTGCTTTCATGCTGATTACCCACTATATTCATTAATCCTTCTCTAATGCATAATTGCTCTGTGTTCTTGTACTTAAGGGAAATTCTGGATTAGTTTGAGTAACACCACTTTGGGCTTTTGCAATGTGGTGTAAGCTTTAAAGCTTCTGAACCTACGTCAATAACTGCAGAATCACTTGTTCACTTCCAGGAGGTTTCTGATCTCCAGATCCTGCCTGTGCCCACTGGACACTATCCTAATGTAGCCCTACCCTCTTTCATTTTAAAGCTAATACCTGCAACAAAACCATGATGTTACATCAGTTCATGTCCATAAAAAAACTCCTGAACACTGTGAGTTTTAATAATGTGGTAATAAAAATCACTGTTCTGCACCACTGGCTGGCTGTCCAAGCCATTGCCCTGGGAAAGGAGGAATGATCTCTGCCTGATTGAAGCCACTTCACCAGGAACCAATGTGCTCCTCAATGCTGTAACACCCACTTCAATGGATCAATTGCTTCAAACATGACTGAAGTAAGCATAAAGATAATTTTGACTCCACACTTTTAAAACACTTGCTTGGGAATACACATTATTGTTAGTAAATGCTACTAAATTGTGGCTGACCTGTATCTTCACCTCCCCCTTGCTCTGAGTCCTCCAAGGCACCACATGACTTTCCATCTTCTGCTGATTCTGGGAAAATGCACCAATAAGGTGCTGGTGCATCAGCCACAAAGTACTCAAAAATGACTGACACAGAAAGCTCAATTAAATTACTGGAATGCATGAAAATAAATGGCATGCCCAGCTCTTTCAGCTTAAGCAAGAAACTGTTTCTTGCATTAACAAAGAAGGGATAAGCATGGAGCCCGGGGTTGCTGCATACCCCATGGAAAATGCCAGCTCTCACTTTCTTCATAAAATCATAGAATAACAGAAAGGTTTGGGTTGGAAGGAACCTCAAAGCTTATCCAGTTACATTCCCCCTGCCATGGGCAGGGACACCTTCCACTAGACCAAGTTGCTCCAAGCCCCGACCAACCTGGCCTTGAACACTTCCAGGGATGGGGCAGCCCCAGCTTCTCTGGGCAACCTGTGCCAGGGCCTCCCCACCCTCACAGCCAAGAATTTCTTCCCAATATCCCATCTAACCCTGCCCTCTGGCAGTGTGAAGCCATTCCCCCTCATCCTGTCATTTGAAGCCTTTGTCCCAAGTCCTTTTCCAGCTCCCTTGGAGCGCCTTTAAGCCCTGGCAGGCAATTGGAGCCTTCTCTTCTCCAGGCTGAACACCCCTGGCTCTGCTAGCCTGGCTCCAGAGCAGAGGGGCTCCAGCCCTTGGACCATCTCTCTGGCCTCTGGACTTGCTCCAGCAGCTCCATGTCCTTCTTGTGTTGGGGGCCTGGAGCTGGAGGCAGCTCTGCAAGGTGGGGTCTTCCAGGTGTGCAAGTGCATGAAGCTGCAGACAGTGGCCAGCACATCAAGACAAGGACCAAGACAGGGCAGGTGTCGTCTGCTCCCTGCCTGGCCTGGACTGTACAGGCCTTGGCCACCAGGTGCCAGACTGCTGTCAGTCACATTAATGGTGGCCACGTCCAGTTCTTGCTGTAAGAGCCCTTCATGTTAATCACTCAACTCACACACCGGCCATGGGAGATAAGCATGGAGCAAGAATATTTTCATCTGCTTCTTTTACTAATTTTTACATGTATATGCTGATAAGTCTTTTGTCCCAGTGATATCTTGTGTGGGGGGAAAAATGTAACATTTTAATCAGGCCATGTACTAATCAGCACATATTTGTCATGTAAATTGTTACAAGAATTCATTTTTCCCTTTCAGAGTCCTCTCTTGTATTTTTCCACTCATGAACACACACAGAGGGCACAGCTCATTTCTCATTTTGATACAGCTATCTGTAATGGAATAATTTCCATCTCATTTTTAGCTTTATTAATTTTCAAATATACTGGGTTCATTCATATACACTGGGTTTGTTTGTTTTAAAGATATAATAATTTATATATGTGGTTTACAACTTTAGATTTCAATTGAACCTTTTTGATAGGATTAGGCCAGGTTGGACAGGGCTTGGAGCAACCTAGTCTAGTGGAAGGTGTCCCTGCCCATGGCAGCAGGGATGGAATGAGATTATTGTTAAAGTCCCTTCCAACTTTAACCCTTCCATGATTCTGTGTTCAATCACTTATTTCACTCACTTGCGTTTTTAGGACCTAGCAGCTTGTTTCTGGTTTGGGATTTTTTATTTTTTTTTCTGTTCCTTTTTTCTTCATTTTGGGAGAAAGAAACTTTCTGCATGGTAAAATAACTCAGAATTTATTAAACATTTATCTTTTCAAATTCAATTTATTATATTGCCAAATCTTCTAAAAATATTTTTGAATAGTTCTAGTTTACTGAATTAGCAAAATCTTTTTTGAAGGAATTTAGAGTATTTGTATTTTACTGAATATCCTATAAGGACAGTCTTCTCTTTTAAGTAGAGAGAAGGCCAGTGATATCCTTTAATATCCCTGCTAGCAGGATACATTGCTGCTCTTTGCACACTTGGCCTGTGGATACCTGCCTGACTGCTCCCAGAGGAGAAGTGGATGATGGTTGGATTTGTCCCCAAGAAAGGATTTCCTTGTTACCCAAACCCCTTATTTTCCAGGCATAATTTAGATGAAGCTTAACATTATTAAGACAAAGTTTTTCTGCATTTCTTTAATGTTCAAATATTCCTGCTGCTATTTTTTTTTCCATTAGAAGGGAAAAGAAAAAGTTTGTGCTCTTCTTTTGAGGCAACCAACCAAAGTCGAAGTTTATTTGTTGTACATTCAAATGAATTTGAGGCGTAATCCAGGGAATAGGACTAACTTCGTCCCTTTAATCCACACAGAAGACCAAGTTCCTGACAAACCAGTGACCTACTTAAGGATGCTTGTATATAGCAGGGAAAAGATTTCTAAGAAAAACAGAGGTGCTGAGTTCCACCAAAGCAGAAGGAGTTGATCAGTAGTGGTTTTAGTAGAGTTCTCCTTTCAGGAGACATGGATTTCACAGCACTAAATGCAAACAAAAATAACTAATTTGCAAGGCAAAAAG